TGTTGAAGTTTTCTGTTTGTAGTTGAGGGAGTCGCTCCCTGTGGACCCCAAGTAACAAGTCAAACTGTTCTGTTATGGTTATAGTGCTTGGAGTGTTATATATATATATATATATATATATATATATATATATATATATAGTTAATACAATGTTGAACAAAAATCTGCACACCTGTCAAGCCATAAGACTTGCTTTTCCCACAGGAATTACAAATTTGCACTGATGTTACTACAGCAAAGGATTCTGGGGGAACATATGCAAATTAGTCTAACAAAGATTCACATATATATATATTACTACTTACTTATAAGAGGTATATGTTACGCATACCTATCATAAGTAAGTAGTAATACAGACTGAAAAAAAAGTAAGCAATGTTCAGCTTTTCACATATCTGTATTACTGCTTCTTCAAAAGGTGAAAAACTCATTTTGAAGCGATTTTTAATTTTTCCACAAACTGGGGAAGAACACACACTTCTTGCATGACAGCAACTGGCATCACAACAGTCTGATTTCAATGCAGAGTGGTGTCTTTGTTTTTATAATCTACAAATTAATGTTTGTTTTTTAAATGAATGACAACATGTAAATTTGGAATAAATAACATTAATTCATGGATCCACTTGTGTTAAAAGTTGAGACTCATGGTAATGATGAGGAGAATAAAATATAGTGCAAACAGTTCAAACAAAAAATTAATAACACAACAAATAGTACTATTTAAATGTTTAAAGAATAATACACACATATCAATGTCGATTTAGAATCAACTAGGTTAATTTCACACCTGTCACATAAGGTGTGACACCATTAAATGAATTACACAGGTACTTCAGATCACTGCTAGACACATCGGTTTGCAATAAAGTATATAAATTTGTTTTTGATACTTGGCAATCTACCAATTGTTCATCTTTGCAATATAGTTTTTGTGAATTGTGTGTGTGTGTTTAAATGTGTTTTTTTGAACTATGTATGTGAATGCTGGGGTGTATTTGTATGTAGTAATTTTTGTTTGAATGCAGATGTGTGTGTTTGTATGTATTGCTGGAGTTTGGATGTAGTGTGGCCATTTGAATTTGGGGATATGTATATGTAATATTGATGTTTGATTGCAGAGGTGGATTTACTTGTAGTGTTGGCATTTGAATGCAGGGTAATATTCACATATACACAAACACTGCCACACACAGATGGTTAAGGTTATTTCCCACAGGAGAACTCCATTTGAATTATGCAATTTCTCACCACGATAGTTAAATTCACAGATACTATATGCAGAAATAACAAAAAAAAATTTTAAAAAATGGGCCCAAGTAATCAAAGCAACTAGTAGAAAAAACTGCATTAACAATTGAGCTTATCCACTAAACTGAGCCCAGGAGAGGATCTGACCTTATATTACTGTGAGCACAGCCAGATGGCAGTCCGTAGGGAGTGGCTGGGTAGCCTGTACAAAGCGTGGGTCATGAAACGACTGCAGAGAAGATATTGTGTAGCAGGCTCCTGTATAAGTGGAGTTTGCAGTTTCAAGGAATGCTTTAAACAGAGAGGTCCTAATTCCTAGCTGGATTAAACACAATTAATCAGTGGATGGAGGAGCAAGTTGATAGTCCATTGGCAGACTGGTTTGGCAACAGTGTAACAGTCTGTAGGCCAGATAGGCTGGGTAACAACAAGGGAAGGCTGCAGCAGCACTGAGGATCATAAGGTCAGTTCTCAGCTTTGCTAGGGAAAAGAGAGCGAACACAGAGGGATATATCAGACTCAAATAATAGAGCCCAGAGCAAACCACACATTTAGTTGAAATAGCCCAGTAATAAAGGAATCACTGTTAAAGGGACATGACACAGACACACATTGACACACTAATAAACAAACACAGATACAAGTCATCTTTCTAGGCTGGTGTAGGCAATTTTCTTCCTCTATGTCTCCTCCTCTCTCTTTTGTCTTTCCATACAACTCTCTGTATGGTAGGAGGAAGTGCATTAACTCACTTCCTCCCAAATCTGCGGTCATTGAAGAACTGTTGATTTAATAGGGACCTTATGCACAATTCAAGGGCTGCAAGATCCAACCAGGCTCAGTTCTCCAGTCTGTAGATATAATTTATGGGTTTAGAGTGTGAACTGACAATTCATAGCCAATGAATTCTGTTAAGCCTTCGACAAAGTTGATAATACTAAAATGAGCACAATACATTTACTTATATACAGATGATACTCGAAAAATTAGAATATTGTGCAAAAGTTCATTTATTTCAGTAATGCAACGTAAAAGGGGAAACTAATATATGAGATAGACGCATTACATGCAAAGCAAGATAGTTCAAGCCGTGATTTGTCATTAGTGCGATGATTATGGCTTTCAGCTCATGAAAACCCCAAATCCACAATCTCAGTAAATTAGAAAATTACATGCAATCAATAAAACAAGGAGTATACATAGAACAATATCGGACCTCTGAAAAGTATAAGCATGCATATGGACTCAGTACTTGGTTTGGGCCCCTTTTGCAGCAATTACTGCCTCAATGTGGCGTGGCATGGAAGCTATCAGCCTGTGGCACTGCTGAGGTGTTATGGAAGACCAGGATGCTTCAATAGCGGCCTTCAGCTCTTCTGCATTGTTCTGTCTCATGTCTCTAATCTTTCCCTTGGCAATGCCCCATAGATTCTCTATGGGGTTCAGGTCAGGCGAGTTTGCTGGCCAATCAAGCACAGTAATCCCACGGTCATTGAACTAGGCTTTGGTGCTTTTGGCAGTGTGGGCAGGTGCCAAGTGCTGCTGGAAAATGAAGTCAGCATCCCCATAAAGCTCATCTGTGGAAGGAAGCATGAAGTGCTCCAAAATCTTCTGGTAGATGGCTGCGTTGACCCTGGACTTAATGAAGCACAGTGGACCAACACCAGCAGATGACATGGCTCCCCAAATCAACACAGACTGTGGAAACTTCACACTGGATTTCAAGCATCTAGCAGTGTGTGCCTCTCCATTCTTCCTCCAGACTCTGGTTCCTTGGTTTCCAAATGAGATGCAAAAGTTGCTCTTATCAGAAAAGAGGACTTTGGACAATTGAGCAACAGACCAGGTCTGTTTTTCTTTAGCCCAGGTAAGACGCTTCTGACGTTGTTTGTTGTTCAGGAGCGGCTTGACAAGAGGAATACAACATCTGAATCCCATGTCCAGGATCCATCTGTGTGTGGTGGCTCTTGATGCACTGACTCCAGCCTCAGTCCACTCCTTGTGAAAGTCCCCAACACTTTTGAATGGCCTTTTCCTGACAATCCTTTCCAGGCTGCGGTCATCCCTGCTGTTTGTGCACCTTTTTCTTCCACACTTTTCCCTTCCGCATAACTTTCTATTAATGTGGTTTGATACAGCACTTTGGGAACATTCAATTTCCTTTGCAATTACATTTTGAGGATTTCCCTTGTTATGGAGAGTGTCAATTATGGTTTTCTGCACAACTGTCAGGCAAGCAGTCTTCCCCATGATTGTGATTCCTACTGAACCAGACTGAGAGACCATTTTTAAGGCTCACAAACCCTTTGCAGGTGTTATGGCGTACTTAGCTGATTAGAGTGGGACACTGTCAGCCTAGAATATTGCACCTTTTCACAATATTCTAATTTACCGAGATTGTGGATTTGGGGTTTTCATGAGCTGTAAACCATAATCATCGCACTTATGACAAATCATGGCTTGAACTATCTTGCTTTGCATGTAATGCGTCTATCTCATATATTAGTTTCCCCTTTTACATTGCTTTACTGAAATAAATGAACTTTTGCACGATATTCTAATTTTTCGAGTATCACCTGTCGGTTTTCGGTGATCCTTCAATATTGATAGTTATGGCTCGCTTCAGGTATGATGTGGACCTTTACCGACAAAAGGTCACTCCGGGTCATTCTAAGCTTAGTGTGTCTTTATGCAATCTATAGCTGTATACGGAGCAGACCCTTCCGTTCCCAAATTACTTATAAATACTGTTTTCCTTAACCATTCTAGATGATAACTTGACTATCACTAAAATAATCCAGTGTCTGAAGACCCAAAAGGCACTGTAATAATATTGTAATAAATGAAACAATGACTCAAATAAATATAAGATAAAAGTGTATTGAATGAATGTTACAGAATGCAAAAATAGTCAGTAAATAATTAATCTTACCAAATGTATTAGTGGCTACAGCATATGTCCCTGTATACCTTTCAGATGTGTGGTGACAGCAGGCAGAGTAAGAGTAGATGAATGAATGAATGAATGAATGAATGGATGAATGAATGACAACGTCACACTCTTTCTCCTTCAGTTAAATAGCCATTTTGTCCTCCATAAAGCAGCCCCCACCTGTGTAATACTCCCAAAAAGGTTTTCTAACTTGTTGCATGATGTAATGTATTGAATATCTAAGTTTGGGATATACCCTAGATGGCTCTGCCTATAGTTAGCTTCAAAATTAAGTGAAGTGTTTTGTATACATTTGACTGACAACACATGTGTTTGTTCTAATTTAACTTCAACCTTTTAGCTGTTAACCTTGTGGAAATGTCATTGAAAATTTAACTTTTTCAAATCTAAGCAAAAAGGCCTGCAATATTTCATACACCTATGTTATACAGCTAAATGTACATTCATATTAGATATATATATGCACCATACCATATAATACATATATATATTGCAAACTACACATTAAATAATGATCAACACTCCACATCACCTGTACATGAAAAGAAGTTGTATTATGTGTCCCAGGGCTACCGAGGTAAGTGTTAAGCCATTTGAAAACAGTTTGGCTTTTTACAGTGAGATGGCAGCTGTAAACTCCTAGAGCCATAATCTCTACAGCGGTCTCAGTGGTTACAGTGCTTAGAGTGTCCCATTACATGAAAAATGGCAAATGATATAGCTCGGTGGACAGTCAAAGATTCAGAGGACCTGGAATTAATCAAATTAAAAAATAGAAAAAGAAAAAAGTGATAAGATTGGTTGGTTATTATATATATTTATATCTTTTTTTTGCAGACTTCGGATTATCATGATGACCCTACTACTGATTATTATGCTGCATCTGAATATTTCCATGACGTGGCTGTAATTTGTAACAGAAAGGAAATATATGAATTCAGTCGAATTTTTCAACCATGTTTGTGTACACTCGTTTTTCTGATTGGCATAGCTGGAAACAGTTTGGTTCTTTCTACTTACAGCTTCTCTAGAAAAATTAAATCGATGACAGATGTCTACTTGATCAACTTAGCAGTAGCCGACCTCCTTCTTCTCCTGACCTTACCTTTTATAGCTGTAAATGCAGTCCAAGGATGGGTGTTTGGTAATATAATGTGCAAAATAGTTGAAGGAATGTATTCAATCAATTTCTTCAGTGGCTTTCTCTTTCTAACATCCATCAGTGTGGACAGATACATTGAAATAGTTCAAGCAGTTGAAGCCCACAGAATGCGTCAAAAGTCTATCTTTTACAGCAAATTGGTCTCCACAGGGGTCTGGGTGTTATCTGTTTTGCTTACATCCCCACAGTTTATTTACAGTAAATCTCAACTGGTGGAAGAAGTGAACATTTGCAGTATGGTTTTTCCAGAAGATGTCACTGCCATGGTGAAAGGGATCAGCAACTTCTCCCAAATCAGCTTTGGTTTTATTATTCCTTTCTTTGTCATGGTCTTTTGTTATTCCTTTATTGCTAAGACCTTGATGTCTGCCAGAAGCTTTGAGAAGCACAAAGCTCTTAAAGTTATCATGTCCCTTGTGGTTGTGTTTGTGCTCTTCCAGCTCCCGTACACTCTGGTCATGTTTCTTGAAACCACAGACCTGCTGAAGAAAGCTCAAATGTCTTGCACAATAAGAATGCATAAAGATGTTGCCTTTATCGTCACCAGAAACCTGGCATTCATCAGATGTTGCCTAAATCCCATCCTATATGCATTTATAGGGGTAAAGTTCAGGAAGGACATCTTACATTTGCTAAAGAATGTAGGGTGCATTTCAAGGGCCAGATATGCCAAGTACTGTGGAACAAGCAAATCAGGTCCAAGCTCCATGGCAGGAGAAACAAGCAGCTTTATTCTATAATTATAGCACCATTTCCTTCAACCACAAATTTAACAGAACACTCCAAGAACCATAACCCGTATAGCACACTGTGTTGGCTATGGTGCAAGAAGTGCCCTAGCACCCCCTAATAAATGCAGTCCGACAACTTATCAGAGAGTTGGAAGCTCATTGGCTGAGAGCGATCAGCGGAAAAAGTCCTCAAAAGCAATTTAAAAAATCTATTTCATAAATATTTTCAGTTATATAAAATAAGAATATCTTATCGGTCCGAAATATTTTATAGTGAAATATTAAAAACTATAGTATTCCTAATCCGAGATGTCCATACATGCTAGAGATAGTCCATATTTTGGGCAAAGATCCTACGGTCCCTCTTTTCTATCCTAATATCTAGGATAGAAAAGGATATCTATATAGGATTTATTTTGTGTCTACCAGGGTAACAGAGCACAGCAATAAAACTTACAGTAATGTGTCAGTTTAAAAAAGATACTTTGGACTTTTTCTATATCATATTTTCAATTCCATAAACGGTGGGCAATCTGCGGCCCTTCAGATGTTTTGGACTACATCTCCCTTGATGCTTTGCTAGTATTATGGCCCTAAGAACATTATGGGAGATCTAGTCCAAAACATCTGGAGGGCTGCAGATTGCAATAATTATCAGTAACACGATGTCACCCAAAATAGTACTTTCCTCTGGCCTCACCTTTAGCCAGACCCTGTAAAAATCAAAGTATCTATCTCCCTTCAGCTCTTTAAAATGTATGTATTATTATGTATTAAATGTTGTAGGAATGTATTATTGAAAAAAAAGATTTTGCTATTCTGGGTTAATGTTGTTAACTAAAATGCAGTTGATATAAGGATTAAGCAATATGTTATTGTAATAATAAATGTATGCTGTTTTAGTATTACTTATCAGATATGCTAACTATCAATGCAAACAATGAAGTTGCACAATGCGGACATTGAAGAGTCTGGCATGTATGCTGTGCTGAATCAAAATATGTGGCAAAAGTCAGGTAATCATTGTTGAAATAACTATGTTCTAGCCTTGCTCTGGCCTTGTCCTAGCTAGTTTTTAGCAAACTTTCATATCTATTTTGTTACGTAAATGGAGTGATTTTTAGTTTCTAAGGTCATCCTTTATGTGGATAATAAATAAAACCAATAAGTTTAATAAATACAGATGATCTTCACTTACCGACCGGTCTCCGTTCCTACGACTCAGTTGTGAAACAAATTGTATTCACTAGAGAGCATGAGCTAGAGAGAATGTTCGGGGAATTCCCCCGCATATAGACCAGCTAACTAGTGCTTGAATCTATGTTGGGGGAATCCCTCAAATCCCCGCGCTAGAGAGCTGGTCATAAGTCCGAGCAGTTGTTGTGCAGGTAAATCACTGTGAGGACTACCTGTATTATTGGAAATTCTGCATATTTAGTAGGTATATATGTATTTGCACAACACTCAGAGCTCACTCATCCATACTGATTTTTTAGTTTTACTTTGGATGATTCAAATTGCAACATTATTAAACAGATCATCCAAAAAAGGGTTTGCAATACCTGGTCTGGTGTAAATTTTATTCTCTACCTGGAATGATCCTATAGTGATTGGTTTCACATCACATTATCAATATGTTTTATGCATGCATGAAAAGATTTTCCATTTGAACTAATACAGCCCTAAAGTATTATTTTTATATTCAAATCTCAATAAAAACACACATTTGTTTGTACAATCCCCAGCACTAACAATTAAAAAAGGGGTGGGAATTCATTTAAAAAAAAAAAAAAAGGGAACTGGTGCACACCCAAAACATATATTTCTCCATAGTGGTTCTGCAATTTCACAAGGCTACTTAAAATCACTTATTTTAGCAAACACATATTGGAATACAGTTACACCATACGAACATATTGTGTTACATCACAGTACCCCAATATCGGTGGGTCCCACCAGTGATGTATTTTGGAATTGTGCTGCGCTTGGCACGACTAAATTTGGGCACCACGGCAATCTTAATTTGCCTCACCAATTTATGTCAGGGCCACTTTTTTTAACAACGGACACACACCCTCATTGATACATGCACTGACACACACTCGCAGATACACACATCCTCACTGATATGACACACTGACAGACACACACACATTCACTCACTCACTCACAGACACACACTGACAGCTACATGCACTCACTCACAATGACACACACACTAAAAATGACAAACCCTCACTGACAGACAGACACACACACACATTCACTGACAGGCACGCACACACATACACACACACACACACACAAATTTTCTCATACACTCATTACACTCACCAATTATTAATATTTTTTTTTTTATTTAGATCCACCCAGCCTCCATACCTTTGGGATAACTGGAGTGGATGCTGTCCCTGACAGCTGCTGGGCTGGCTGGGCAGGCTCCTTGCTGGCTCCTGCTGACTAGGCTGACTCTGCTGGGGCTGCTGACTGTAATGGGGCTGCTGGTTGGGCTGGCTCTGCTGGGGCAGCTGGCGCTCACTGAAGGCGGCGAGGGAACTAAGCGCTTATTGCTTAGCTCCCTTGGCACCGCTTAGTGATGCCGGGGCCAGAGTGATGTCATATTCCGGCTCCCGGCATCACAGAAAGGAGCGCAAGGGAGCAAGAAGAGTGAAGCTCCCTCGCCACCTGGATAGAATATCAGTAGTTTAACACCACGGTGGAACCTAAGGTGGGCCTGCCAGCCAGCTCTTGGGCCCACCAGGATACAAGGCATTTGCCTGGGTGCTTTGGGGCAGCATTTTTTGCCGCCCCCCCCGAATGTGCAGGCCTTGGAAAATGCCTTGTTTGCCATGTGGTAAATAAAACCTTGGGTCCCACATTAATTTTACAATGGGAGATACATATGTTAACTAAAACAGTCACTGCTTAAACTGCTTTCAGAGACTCTTCTCAAATTCATGCTCTCCTGTGCTCAATTACACTCAGGGCAACCTTAGTAGAAGAGCGGGGTGCTTAACCCAAAATGAATCTGATCTACAGAGACAGGCAGTAGACACCAGAACAACTACATTAAGCTGTAGTTGTTCTGGTGACTATAGTGTCCCTTTAACAGACATCAGGGAGATGGAACAAGAATCAAACCTGTTATGACACCCCTGGCACCAGGGAGTGAAACCGCCATTTAGTTGAGCTTCCCCTTTCGCAATAATGCAAACTCCATTCGTATAGACTCCAACCGTACGAACTGCAATCAGGGGAATTCGCCAATCTCCCGAACGGGACCCATACAGGTGCTCCAACTCCTGAACGGTAAACCCACAAATCATTGCTAACAGCCGAATCAATATATCCTCCAAGCGGCTTACACTTCCATCAATCAGTCGCTATTCGTGTGTAGTAAATCCCCCCAATAACGACACCAAGCTCCGCATTGAGGGTAAAACAAGAAATGGCTTTACTGTGGGCTACCCGCCCGTATATATGCAGGTCTCCCACTTGGTGCACACTCCCCTAGGGGACCAAATGGGAGACCATAATTGCAGACAGACATATGGCCCTTTAAGACATACAGGCACAAAATATTCCCACAATGCATCCTGCTTCCCTCCCCTCTGCCATGGAGATAATTGGGAAGTAATTAAATTATCTCCAGGACAGAGCCAAATCGCCATTTTAAGTACAACACAAAAAACACATGAAAATAAATAATTACACAACTACCGAACATACTACAATCGTGCAACGTACCACCAGATAGCCTGGATCTGAGTGCATATTCTTAGCGAATAGCGCTCAGATCCCATACGCACAGTTCAATCGCCATGGAGTCAAAGTCTTTTACAGTCTTTCGGTATGCGATTGACTCCATGGGAAGGCTATCTGGGTTAAGTCCATTCGTATAATCCAAACGGCCGGTGTTCGCATGTCTTGTCGAAGGGCGGTCTGTGGTTTCACTGGTGTTCGGCAGAAAAAGTGTCAGTTTTTAGTTCCATAGAATCTGCGTCGAACACCGCTGGTCTTTCGCATTGTTTAAAATGGCAGCCACCTCGTGGTCGACATACGAACAACGACCACCCTGCATTCGGTTATAATTAAGAGGTGTCTGCGGTTAACCACAATGTTCTAATTGGGGCCAAGAGGTTAACCAGCAGCACACTTCTCTCTTGGGTGGCCGTCCGTTCGGTAGTTTTGTTCGGTATATTTTGAAACAGACGAACAGGGGCATACAAACAGGTAATTCCACGAAAAGAGGCAAAACAGACTATCCAGCAATATCAGTCTATACAGATGGATTTGTCACACGGCTCCCTCCTTGTGGGACACTCCGGCAAACCCGGCTTGACCCTTTGGCGGGTCAACTTGGGGATGATCAGACTAGGAGGTGGTAGGGACGTCGGTTTGCCGGCACAATCCATCAGCATTCCTGTTCTGCTTACCGGGTCGGTAGCTGATGGTGAAGTTATAAGGTTGTAGGGCTAAACTCCACCACATCAGTCTACCATTGTCTCCTGAGACCCGGTTAAGCCAGACAAGGGGATTGTGGTCCGTTATAAGGAGAATTCCTGCCCGTATAAATAAGAGCTCAATTTCTTTAATGCCCAGACCAGGGCTAAACACTCCTTTTGCACTGCCGCATAACTCACTTCCCTAGGTAGTAACTTTCTGCTGAGGTATGCGACAGGGTGCTCCCCTCCATCTTCCCCGACCTGGCTCAGCACAGCCCCCAGTCCATACATGGAAGCATCTGTGTGGACGAGAAAGCGTTTGTTAGGGACTGGGGCAGCCAAGACAGGGGCATTCAGAAGAGCCTGCTTCAGTGCCTGAGACCACAGGACCTGCTTAGGTAAATTCTTTTTCGTCAGGTCAGTCAGGTGTTTGGCAATAGTACTGTAGTCCAGGACAAAACGTCGGTAGTATCCTGCTGTCCCCAAGAAGGCTAGCACCTGGGTCTTCATGATAGGTGTGGGCCAGTTAGCCACTGCCTCTACCTTGGCTGGCTCTGGTCTCTGGCTCCCACACCTCACTCTGTGACCCAGGTACTGGACTTCCGCTATGCCTAGACGGCACTTGTCTGGTTTCAAGGTCAGGCCGGCGGCCCGAATGTTGTCCAGAACCACTCCTACATGCACCAGGTGTTCTTCCCAGGACTCACTGTAGACCGCAATGTCATCCAGGTATGCACAAGCAAATTCCTGGAAGCCATCGAGAAGTCTATCCACCATACGCTGGAAGGTAGCCGGAGCATTCTTCATCCCAAATGGCATGACCTTAAACTGGTACAGGCCAAAGGGGGTGATGAAGGCTGACTTAGGGATAGCGTCCTCGGCCAGGGGAATCTGCCAGTAGCCCTTACACAGATCTATGGTGGTCAGATAGCGTCCCCTGGCAATACGGTCTAATAACTCGTCTACCCGGGGCATCAGGTAGGCGTCAGTGGTGGTCCGCTCGTTGAGCCGCATGTAGTCCACACAGAACGGGGGTGGTCCCATCTTTCTTAGGCACTAGGACCACAGGCGAGGCCCAAGGGCTGTCCGAGTGTTCGATGACTCCAAGCCGAGTCATCTCCTGTATCTCCTTTCGCATTCCTTCCCGGACTGCTTCAGGGATACGGTAGGGAGGCTGTCGTAAGGGATTCTGTCCGGGGGTCTCTACCTTGTGTACAGCTAGGGTGGTGTAGCCTGGCTCTTGGGAGAACGTTGCCTGCTTCTCCCACAGAAGCTGCCTTGCCTGTACCTTCTCTGTGGGGCTCAACTAGCTGTACAAGACTAGTGAGGTCAGTCTGGGGTTCCTTCTCTAATAAGTTCGGCAGGGGTAAATTCTCTGGGTCGTCTGCAGCTGGGGCACACACTGCAGCGACATCTTCTGGTCTCTCCTGATACTCCTTCAGCATATTCACATGGAAAGATCGCTGAACCCTTTCATCTGCACAGTTGGCTATAAGGTAGGTAGTATCACATACCTGAGCCACTATCTTATGCGGGCCCTGCCAAGATGCTTGCATCTTGTTCATCTTCACAGGCTTGAGCATTAAAACCTTTTGCCCCACCTGGAAGACCCTCTGTCGGGCACCCCGATCGTACCACCTCTGGATCTGAGTGCATATTCTTAGCGAATAGCGCTCAGATCCCATACGCACAGTTCAATCGCCATGGAGTCAAAGTCTTTTACAGTCTTTCGGTATGCGATTGACTCCATGGGAAGGCTATATGGGTTAAGTCCATTCGTATAATCCAAACTCCCGAATGGCCGGTGTTCACATGTCTTGTCGACTGAGAAGGGCGGTCTGTTGTTTCAGCGGTGTTCGGCAGATAAAGTGTCCATTTTTAGTTCCATAGAATCTGCGTCGAACACCGCTGGTCTTTCGCATTGTTTAAAATGGCCGCCGCCTCGTGGTTGACATATGAACGACGACCGCCCTGCATTCGGTTATAATTAAGAGG